CCCGCCCCCTCCCCACCCCACCCTAGGTTCAGCTACACCACTCCGGAGGGTTAATGCAATCCCCTGAACCAGGTGCCTGTGGTTAGATGAGGTGGTGATGAAAGGCACTGGCTTTCCTGCACCTTAGGGGCTGCAGGTAGCACTGGTGTTGGAAGGGGACATTGCTTTGGATGTCATACTTCCCAGCTGGCCACTGTTCCTGCTCAAGCCTCCTCTGCACGCAGGGGCCTGCATCCTTTTCAGTTGGGCAAACAACTTTGCAAAACTTTAGAGCACAACCTGTCAGACAACTCCAAGTGAGCACTCAGTGACAAAGGTACCACGGCAGGGCCAGAAGTGTGGGCACAACTTCTGCAGGAGGTAGATCAGTCCCAAGAAATTACCTAGGACCATCATCTTTGTGGGTAAGATCTGGTCCTGCTCCAGGTCCCTGAGCAACACTGTCCTCCTAGGAAGTCAGCAAGATTTATGCTTCAGGCTCTGACAGGCTCCTTGGGGAGATCAAACCTCATTCATCTCCAACATTCCTACCAGTTCCCAACAGAGGTGGGAGCCCTGTGCCCACAGATAGATCCAGGTGCCCTGCTCCAAACTGGGAGAAAGGGAGGGTGGGGACTGGGATGGCAAAGCTGTTTGGAGACCATTGTGCCATAATTACAGTCTGTTTGAAACAGAGCTGCCTCCTCCTCAGCCTGAACTTCATTAATTAAGCTGCTGAATGCAGAGTGAATTAATTAAACCAATTATTATGCTGCTATTTTATTCATTTGCTGTTTACTTTGATTGATTAGATGACTCTGATTAATAAATATTGAATAATTGTTAATTAAATGAATTCATTAATTGCTGGTTTATTTGCCTAACAGTTACCTATCCCTCACTTCCACAAGAGTTGTATCCTGAAAGTTTTTCCCAAGAAGCAGGTTCCCAGGGGCTCAGGCATGGGTAGGGGATGGGGTCACTTACCAAAAGGCAAGACAAAGAAGAACGGGAACCAGCAGAGGATGAAAACACCCACGACAATGGCAAGAGTCTTGGCTGCTTTTTTCTCACGGGAGAACTTGAGGAGTCTCACCGAGAGGGAGCTCCGGAAGTTGTGCCCCTTGCTCCGGGTGCTGGAAAGAGGCTCCTCCAGCACGCTGCGGCAGTGGATGCGCAGTACCACCTCCATGGATTTATTCCTCTCCTTCTTGACCCCTGCCTCCAAGCTCCGGGTGGTCCGCCTGGCCACCACGTAGATCCTGAAGTACATCACCAGGATGACCATGAGGGGCAGGTAGAAGGAGAAGAGGGAGGAGAACAGGGCATAACCTGGCTCCTCTGTGATGCTACAGATGCTCTCATCTGGTGGCGGTGGCTCCTTCCATCCCAGGAGTGGTCCAATGGAGATTACCATGGAGGAGAGCCAGACCACCACGAGGATGACCCCCGCCTTCCTCTCGGTCATGATTGTGGGGTACTTGAGGGAGTATTTGACGCCGATGTATCTGTCCACAGAGATGATGCACAGGCTCATGATAGAGGCAGAGCAGCACAGCACGTCCACCGCTGCCCAGATGTTGCAGAAGATGCGCCCAAACACCCAGAAGCCTAGCACCTCCAAGGTGGCCGAGAAGGGCAGCACGGTGGTGCTGAGCAGCAGGTCGGCGATGGCCAGGTTGACAATGAAGTAGTTGGTGACCGTCTGCAGATGCCGGTTGCAAGCCACCGAGAGGATGACCAGGATGTTCCCCACGATGGCCGAGAGGATGAAGACAGCCAGGAAGACCCCGACGCCCACCGCCTGCACGTCCAAGGCGAAAGTCAGCGCGGTGCTGTTGCCCTCGGAAGGGTCCTCACCTTGCAGCCCCCAGGACCGGTTGGCACCGCTGTGGCTGCCCTGTCCCGTCTGGTTCCCACTCAAGCTGCCATTGCTCAGCTCAGGGAAAGTCATTGTAGAAAAAGTCCGGGCTCCATGGAGGGCGAGGAGAAAGCGACGCCGAGGCACAGCCTCCCCGGCATGATCCCCGCAGCCCCCTCCAAGGCTCGGCTCGGCACCTCGCTCCCCCCGCCGCCCCCGGGGCCAGTCCGGGTGCCCCCAGCCGGGAGGGATGGAGGGAGGGATGGAGGGCGGGCGGGACAGGCTGCTCCTCGCCTCCTCCCGACCCGCCGCTTCACGCCGGCCGGCCCCGCTGCCCCCCTCCCC